ATTGCAGTAATAGTTAACGAGATATTAATTTATAAAGATATTTAAATTCGCCCGGCCCACCGTCAAATGCAAGCGCGTGGCTGGATAGGACCGCCCAGCGAAACACGCCGGGCGCGTTCGCCGTCGCTAGGCGTTGTTTATAACAAGCGTTGTTTATAACAAGTGGCAATAGTCGTCGCTAGACATGAGTCGCATGCCTAGCGACGGCAAACGCACGCGGCGCGCTTTGCAGGGCGGTCCTATCCAGCCGCGCGTTTGCATTTGACGATGGGCCGGGCGAATTTAAATATTTTTATAAATTAATATCTCGATAACTATTACTGCAATCGCAAAATGGTACAGGACTTTTCGACTCAGTATAGTCTGTTCTATCCACTCATGAAATATTATGCGGTTATTCTCAGCCACCCTGTATAATTCCTTCTCAGATTTCTAATTATTGTTTTATTTTGTTAATCTTATTGATAATGGGTTACAATTAATTTTTTAACAACAAATTTTTATCATTTTGTTTCGATCATTTATTTGCGATTGGCCGCTAAGTCGATGTTACACGATACTGAGCATGCGCATAGCTGTAGCCAATAAAATTTAGGCATGTACTCCCCCCGCATTTCAGAATAACCCCCCTCGCCTATCTTCGGAGCTAATGCTCTGTCCCTATATTTCTATGTCCATGCAAGCGACACCATGGGTATTTACGACAAATGGTCGGATTTCCAATCCGATCGAACAGTGATACTCAGTTGGTGCATTTCAAAAAACTCCCTAGCTTAATCGGATTTTGGTGCCTGTCTCAGGAGGTAATCGGATTCATGCTATAAACACAAGGGTATGCTCATCCGGTGGACGAATTTAGAAAGCCTTTGCGCATCACTCAGTTTACGTCACATTCGGCTACTTTCGGATGCTTTCGGAAGCTTTCGGACTCTGAGTGCCAATGAAATATGGGCTGCCGTATTTATGATATTCGTTAAAGCGGTAAAGTAAGCAAGAGTTTTTATTGAAAATAATGGCTGTTTGTGCAGTAAAAGTCTGCAATAATTATAATTGAAAAACGGTAAGAATAAAAGGAGAGGAAATAAAATATTTCAGGTTTCCTAAAGACCCTGAAATTGCTGCAAAATGGATCGAAGTGTGCGAGGAAAATGTAAATTTAACGCATGGTAAGGTTGAAATATTACATATTAACGCATAAACAAATTGATAGTGTAAATGTAAATAACTAATCTGGTTAGGTTAACTTTTTACAATCAAACAAAAATATCACGAAACTC